TATAAAAATGAAATGAGAAGTTTAATTTGAATTGAACAACCTCTCATTCAGAGGTGGGCTTGCCCACACAGGCCCTGGCCTTACACAGCAAGTCAAACTCTGCTCTCAGCCAAAAACAGCCTCAACTCCTAATCCCGAAGCCACAGGACAGCGAGCTCTTCCCAGCTGTGCAGCCAAGAGGCCAAGGGGTCAGGAGTCCCGGCGCTCCCAGCAGCAGCCCCGTGCCCATTTCCCTCTCATGCACACCCCAGCGGTGTTGGCTGTGCTCACCTCCATCTGCTGCTCACAGAACTTGCTCTCGCTCCCAGGCAATTCAGCGAGAGTAGGAGCAGCCCCACGTCGAGTCCCAGCACAACATTTTATTGCTGTCATGATAATTAATGACTACTCACACTGAGCTTTTAATGAGTACCTGCGCTTTTTTGTTTGTTTGTTTGTTAACTGGGTCGTAAAGGAGGAGTCCCGGCTGGTTTCCTGGATTTGTAGTACAATAGGGACCTCTACAGGCGTTTCCCTGCTCAGAGCAAGGCTCAGGACAGGTATGAGCAGCCACAAGTCACTGCGGATGCCACCGTGCTGTCCGTCATGAAACCTGCACTTTACCAAGTCTGACCCGTCTTTCCCCTCTCAACACTGCTGCTGTGTTACTGACCTACTAGAGCACCACTGGAGTTCTTAAAAGAACTCACGGAAGAGTTATTGAAAAGGTTGGAAAAGTTTGATGCCTCTCCTTCAAGTGGCTTTAATCCCTCCCTGTCTTAGTTCTCCACAGCACATCATTCCTGAAGCACTGCTTTGCTTCCTGGGGATGCTCTAAAGACAAATCCATTAAGGACTGAGAACTTCAGGGATCACAGGAGCTTTCTTAACTTAACTGTATCAATTATTTTGCCAAATTAGCCTTCTCCTTGTGGGATGCTTTGAAAGCTACAGTGTATTTCATGGACCAGAAATTAAACAAAACATCTAATGACCATAAAGAATTACAAAGCTCTAAAACTTTGCTGAGAGCCATATGATTTTTTGGGGGGTTGATTTTGTTCTGTTTGATTTTTGGTTTGGGGTTTTTTTTTTGCATGAAGTTGAGAGTCACTAGCAAGTAACCAGTTTTACGGGTAGTTCTTAGTACACAAGGCAGGACTTACACTCAGACCACATGACAGGCAGCCTTGTGCTGGCTGCAGCAGTGCAAACTGGATTTGTACTTTTACTATAAGTGGGATGGACCAGAAACCCTGCTGTGTTACTGTCAAAACATACTCGGGGTTACTAAGAAAAAGGCAAAATCTTCTCCAAGGGAAAACTGTTTCCTACCTACCTGCTTGCCACTAGAGCTCAAAAACCTTCTCCAGGAGCCTCTGGCACTGTCTGCAGTGGCTGGCTGGCTCTTGGCTCAGGTGCTCCTGTGCCAGTGCAGCTCCGAGTGCGATCACGGCACCGCTGTTCACCACAGTGTGCCCTGGCAGGAAGGACTGTTTGGAAAGCACAGCCCTTTTTTCCCCAGGCTTGCACCTCCCTGTTTGAAACAGTCCTTGCTGGGATCAGTAACTGCAGGCCACCCACACGCCAGAGCAGGAAGTGGGTGTTGAACTGAGGGAGGTGTTCAAGTCACAGCCCAGCACACCTGCACAGCGGCTGCAGATGCCAGTGAAGCAGGTTGAGGGCTGGGTGGCTTAAGGGCAACTCGGCTTGAGATGCGCTGCAGGAAAAGCCAGTATGGTTCCACCAGCCAGGATCATGCACAGGGCAAGCGTTCTGTCCTTTGGAAAGGCTGATCCCGGTCTTTGATGTCTCTGGCTCGGCCCTGCGGAGCTGGTGCCCCTCACAGCTGAGGCAGGCCAGCCTAAAAGCCACACAAACACAGGGACTCCTCTTGAAATGACAGTTTTTGGCACGTGCAGCTAGAATGGGAAGGAGAAGTTTACAACTCTGTTAATTATGCCATTACAGAAGGACTCTGAGCCTGATAAATGAGCCAGGAAAGATGATCCTGATCCTCTGACAGGCCAGTTCTGCAGGAAATTCAGCACCGTAAGCAGCAACACACCAGACCAGGCTGGCAGCATCTGTCACTGATCAAGGCAGGGCTCAGCAGGGCTGACTCCACGCAGCGATCTGAGGCAGGGCAGGCTTCCTCAGCCAGGGCACTGCACCAAACTGCACAGTGAGTCAGGCAGGCAGGGATGCCTCAAACACAGCCTGGGCCTGCTCCGAGCCTGAGCTTCAGCGTGAAGGGCACACAGCACCTGGGTGGTGAGGAACCCAGTTCTGGAAGCCTTGACACCATTTGGACAAAGAACGCTAAAATACAGCAAAGACCTCCGCTTGCTTGCTTCCTTCCTTCCTTCTTCTCATCTTTGTCTTTCCATTTTATTCTCATTCTACCCTGACACAAAGTCTCATTTTGTGTGGCACAGACTCATCTGGTGTTTCATTCTCCAGCTTTTCTTCCACTAACAAAAAAATCTCAGCAAACTCACACTGGCAGCCCCTCCAAAGCTGCCTTGGGCCAGAAAGCCAACTGGAAAAACATATTTCACTATGTAGTCTCCTGATAAATTGTGGCCTTGAAGTAAACCTTCCTTTTCAGTTACGTTTAACTAAACATGAAAAAAAATTTAGTGTGTGTTTTCTATAGGTACAGAATGTCTCACTGCAATGAGTAAATACTTTTGAAGAACAACTCCCATATCCTGTAAGGTACCTGCTTGGCCACTGGTACATTAAGGGCATAAAAAACATCAGTAAGAGGACATACAAACAGCTAAAACCAAACCTAATCCATCTCTCTCCAACAGCTTTCTTTAGGCAAGGCAATGTCCAGCTGCTCAAACTCCTGCCCTTAGAACTTCTTTAACAACTGCATGTACCCCCTGAGGAAGGTGTGTGCCTGCTCCAAGACAGAGCCTCTTCGATGGAGAAGGGTTGGTCCCCGGGGGGTGAACCCAACACTGGCAGTGTGCACACAGGAAGAGACAACTCACTCTTGAGAGGGAGATGCACTCATGACAAAAACCCTGAGGTTTTTCATCCTTTGGATACTTAGCTCTAAAATTTTCTCTGAGACCGATAATAAAGATCTCTCACCTGTGTTTTCCTGACAGCGTGCATGTTTTCAACAGGTATTTCCATGCGAGAGGGGAGAAGGGTGGTTTTTGTCTGTGCCTCAGTGTGGATGCACAGACTGTAATTCACATTTCGTTGCCCTCTCACTACACACGTGTGACACAGAAAACGTCAGGGCCACTACTGAAAGCTGAGTTGAAAATTGTGAAGAGCACAAGTTGTCTGGCAGTGGACATTTATAAAAGGTCAGAAGAATGGAAAGGAGCAAACAATGCAGAGATTTGAGGATTTAACTTGAGATGAAGAAGACAAAAAGGCTGAGTTGGAAAATGCTGATGTTGATGTGCAGAGGAAAGGACCGGTCTCAATCCAGGCATGTGCCGCTTGTTCCCTCTGATATGTGGGATTCCAAACAGTGTGTGATGTGCTGTTTTATTTGTTGGTATCACATGGAGAGCCAAAATGGCTCAGCTACTGACCAGGACCCCCATGTAAGAAGCCCCCTGAACTCCAGACCACTTGAGTGCCACAGGCACTTTTAACCCTTTCAAACTCCACCTTTCATTCACATATCAGAATTGTCACCATAGTCTCACAAATACACAGTTTTTTCAACAAGCAACATGCCTCCTGCTGTGAAAATTAATTCACATAACAAAGAAACTGCGCTTTCAGCAAGCCACCACCTGAATTTAGGAGCTGATATTACCCCACAAAATCTTCAAGTACCAACTGCCTTTCTCTGGAAGATGACTGAGCACAGCAGGTGAGTCTAAAACGTACAACAGCTGAAATGAAAACCTCTGAGAACCATCTCCAGTCTCGTCAGCACTGGCAAACACTCTAGCTGTCACTGAGAAGTCCCAGTTAGTGCCACCATCTTCAGAATCAATTTTCTTCTCTTTTCTTTGAACAAAATCTTTGTACCTTTGCAATTCTTTGTAGATGAGATGAAGAGAGCCAAGCAGCCGATATGTTTGTCCAGGGTAGAACCAAATCCCCAAGATAACTTTTTTCTTATTTGAGTGGTCACACTGTGCTGATAATGTGAGAATGGAGTAGTCTGTTTCCTGTGTACTGAAATTTTAGGAAAAATTCCAGCTTCTCTAGAAATTGAAGTCTTGTGCAGAAATCAGGGTGCAGCAAGGCAATGTTCTGCCTGAAGTTCCATGGATCTGAGGAGCTGCTGGATGATGTTTGGGATGAGAAAGGTTCTTTGTCAGAAGCACACTCCATAATCCATTTTGAGAAAGATGCCTGGTTCCTTTGCTCATGAAAACAATGAGAGCATGCCATGCCCAGAGGTGTCATGATGTAATTTTCCAGGAATTGCTTAGTCTCTATTCCTAAGTTTAAGAAAGCTTTTGCAAACCAGTCACTGTCCTCAGTCCAAAGCATTTTGGTTTTGTCCTTTTTGGCAGCAGAAGCCTGTACTTGGCCCATTACACTGGAGGTAACAGCTGGGTTGAAAGAGGGATGTTTATCCACACACACAGCCAGCAGACACCAAAATCAGAATCCAAATGTTTTCTGGTCAGTGCCTGATGTCCAGAATACAGTTCCACTGTGAGAGAGGTGGTGCTTTTCCTCCAGGAGAAAAAACAAGAAAAAAACAAACAAAAAACCAAAACAAAACACACAAAAGACCAAAGCGGAACACTGTTCTAGGGTTTGAAATGACTGAAAACAGCTAAAACCAACCAGGTCCTCCCCTTGGCAAACACCAACCACAGGAGAGCGTCAAGAGGCCTGCCAGTGTCCTCAGCTGTTTGGACCTGAGCATGAGCCACCTTTACCAAGGAGAGGAGGTCTTTCTTCAACACTAAACGGAGCCTGTCAGTTCTGCAGGAGTTCCCTTCACATCCTCCTCTGCCATTCCCTCGAGTCCATCTCCTCCACGAGGCTGGGGCACCTGTCGGATGGTGCGGGGGGGGCCTTCCCAGCAGACCTTCCCCTCCTTTGCAGGCAAACTGGTGAGTGTCCCAGTGCCAGACCTTCACAGCGCCGTCTCGCCCACGCAGACTTTGTAGGGGGATTTCAATTTCCTGCATCTAAAATGGACACCATCCTGTGATTTTTATCAGACAAAAGCACAGCACACTCAACAGAACCAAAGTCCAATCACCTAACTCATTCAGGCAGCCCAGGTGAGCCCCGCATTTCAGACAATCCCACTGTTGACCCACTGGCAGAAGGGAAAGCAGAGGTAGAGTGTTAGTTCCCTTAAGATCACACCGCAGATGAGCAACAGGCAAGAACACACTTCCAGAGCCCTCCAGTTCAGATTTTTGCAATCAATTAATTCAATTAATTGATCAATTCATTCAGATTTATGCAATCAGAAGGTCCCAGATCTCCCGTACCTCTTTCTTACGTAGCAGTAGATGATGGCAAGTATTCCACTGGTCAGTATTCCTACACCAATTCCCACAGCTATGTAGCGCTCGTAAGAATCATGTGCATATGAATTCAGTGTTAAATGTTCACACCTTTCTCCATTATAACCTGCAAGGCACCTACAAAATAAATACACGCCATGCAAAAGTTACTCAGAACTTGTTATGCTTTCTATTTCAGACACGTGTTAGTTTTCATCAGTTTTAAACAAACCAGAAGTCCAAATGAGGATGGGCTGAACCCGGTGCTCAGTCAGAAGCTCTTCCCTCCACCAAGACTACTAATTGCCCCAGTTTATCTATTTTAAAGCTAGCTCAAGTACTGCAGTCACAGCAGCAATGCAGTCTCAACATCCCCTCATGGTGCAGGGTGTCGACTAAGAACACTGTGCTCTGATGACCCTTACCTGCTGCAATGTCTCCCAAGGCCAAAGCTGCCCAGTAAGGATCCTACAGAATTTTAAGGACACCATGGTCCCTATTGGTTTGCAGGCACTTGTGGAATAAGGGAGTTGCAGCTGACATTTTGGAAGATCCTGTCCCCTTCCTCTTGCCAACTGTGAAAATTTACTTATTCCTCTACTACTTACCAGCTGTGATTTGAAATGGCACCATGGCAGTGACCTCCAAAGCTGTGAATTCCCCCCCTCCCTTCTTTAGTCCATTTACACTAGCACAGCACTACAGTCTCTTTAGCAGTCCCGAGCCACCACAGCACTCGGGTCTGTGCCGTATTTTAAGCTTGCAAGTACCTGACTGGCACTGAAAAGCTGCATTAGTACCATGCAGATAGAAACAATGGCAGTGCTAGTTTTGGAGAATAGTGAAAAGCAGCATTCTTTACTTGCATATGGGTTTCCTCAGCTCGCTGTGGAAAGCACAGAGCCCGTTGATACAATAGCTGTGGTGTTCCTCAAGGCAGGTCTGCATGAGCTTCAAGAGCTTTGGCTGCTCTGTGTAATCCACTGTGAAACAGAATAAAGTCATGTTAATTTTAGCACCAAAGAAATCACTTGAATATACTTTCACAACTGAAGCAGAACAGCCATTGTGTGCAGCAAACACTTAATACATCGATTTTACTGTGCTCTGTCTCGAGAGCAGATTCAATCAGCACGAAACAGAACAAGCTGCTGAGACGTTCCAGCACGGCTTTGAGACAGCACAAACTGTAAATCAGTTGCTTGCTCTTGACAAATGTGTACAAAAATGATAATGGGAGATTCATCCAGGGTAACATCCGCATTATCCAACCTGCAATCCAAATAGGAAAATCATCCCAGGAATAGCAGGAGTTTAGGACACATGAAGAGCACTGCATTATTCTCTGTATTCTTCCCAGTTTGAATTCAAATTAATACTTAATTCATTTTTTCTTTTCCTGCTCACAAGACAAACTACTGCACTTCTAGCACTCCTGCCTGCCAGCTCTGCAGCCATGAGGGAGGATGAATGGTGGGGCTGCTCCCTCCTTCCTCCACGTTCTAATGTTAGCAGAGTGTCCAATGACACTAGTAAGCCCCCAAGACTGCCTGGATGATCTTCCTGTGCAAAAAGCTCGGTCCATGGCTACCTAGCTTCTGAACTCATACAAAATTCCAGGTCAGCAGGCACACTTCCTGCACAGAAAATGCTACCTTTTTCTCAGCCATGGTGGCTCAAATGGGAATAAAGAAGCCACGGGAGCAGGGGTGCGGCAGGTGGAGGGAAAGCTCCAAAGCTTCACCGTCACTGCAAGCATCTGTTCCAACTGGTCCCTCTACTCAGTTACAGGAATCACTGGTGGGGTGGGGTGTCCCAGCAATGCCTTACTATTTCAGGGGACTGCTTTACTGGTGGCTGAAGGTGATTTCCTAACCAAGTGCATGTCAACACCAGCTTTCAGTTATGACCACAAGAAAAATAACATCATGCAGGAAGGTGACAAGGTCTGCTCGGAGTGACACAACAATGGTACAGCAAGCAGAACCCTTCCTTTCTGACTAAGTGCTGAATCAAGGTCTGGAGATACTACATAGAACCACTGCCATGGACAGAAGCCTCAAGCAATCCTATGGGCAATTCACGATCCCACTACACATCTTTCAGGAGTAACACCACTGCCCCCCTAAATTCCACATCATATTCCAGTTCGAGACATTTAATGGCAGAAATCTCCCCTGTGTGCTCTACTAAGCTGATCTTTTCTTCCTCCTTCTGCAGCTTTATCACAGAGATGACAGGCGATGGCAGACAGCTGCTCTAGCTGAGGCAATTCACAACTTCGGCTGTGAATGATGTGGTTTGGACACCCAAAAGGCATGATGCTATCACTGATACTCAGATCAAACACAACTACTTTGAGAACAGTGCCCTCTCAAACCTGACAGAGTCATCAGACTTCCAGCTTAGCAAGAGGACTCAAGGAGAACAAGTAACAATTCAAATCTGATTGAAAAACGCCATGTTGGTTTACTACACTTCCTCAGGAAAAGCTACAGAGGTGGAAGAAACACATGTTGTTTTAAAACTAACTTCTAAGGGCTGAGAAAAGGGCATCTTACCCATTTTTGTAAGGGGAAAAAAGAATCACAAGTTTCTCTTCACACTGTGGACCCCAGAAACACAATGAAAGGGAACAAGTTGGTCTGGCCCTAGAATTCAGGTCTGACTCTTCTCTGGCTGGCTCCCAGAATGTTGCTGACAACCTCCAGGGACAGGCTCAGGGCACAGTCAGCACAGGACAGGCCTTGAAGGGACACACTTCAGGAAGAAGTTAAGAGAGGACAGATGTCAGGAAGAAAAGACAGATCTTGTGACAAGAGATGGGTGACACTACTGTGCACGGGAGGACTGTACATTGCTCTCTGATGGGGAAAGCACAAAGGAAAACAAGGCATGTGGTCAACACAGCTGCAGAGTTGGGCTTGCCAAGGAGATGCAGGATGCAGGGGATCTGCAAAATCCCATTTTCAGTTAGGCCTAATGTACCTGCAGACCAAAGCTCTGCAGGGAAGAGTTTCAGAAAATAGGCAGTGGCACATTCACGTTTTCCCCAGGACTCACCTCAAACACTTGGGCACCAACTGTTTTGAATCTCCATTTAAGCACAAAGTGCAGTAGGAAATCACTAAAAATAACCCATCAAATTAAGCCTTTAACCTGCAGTTCCTGCCACCCAAAGTACTACTCTTCTGCTAGGCCCTGAGATGATGCCTATTGCACAGGTTTAATATTTCACTTCTATCTCTGCCATAAAGAAAAAAACAAACAAACAAACAAACAAAAGAAACATGTGGAAGGTACAAATCCACACTGCAGAGGCATGAAATCCCCAGCCACCTCCCACTTCCACCGCCCGGGTTCCCACATCCTGAATCCCTCCTCACTCACACCAGCACTGCCGAGAGGTGGCAGCCTCCTACTACCAACGCCTGCAGGAAACCTTGCTTTGTGCATGCCCGTGATCCTCTTCCCTGAGTGCTGCTGTTATTAGAATCCCAGGTCAGCCTGGAACAGCAGCCTGCCTAGAAAGCAGGAGACAAACCAACACATTCCTCCGTCGCTGTCAGGAGGAAGAGCTAGGTCCGTTGTGGGTTTGCAAGATCAGATATTAAGTCTACACACAAAAACTGCCTGTGCTAATTATTTTGGCACTGCAAAAGTACAACTGACCTCTGAAAGAATGAGTCTTGAAAACAAAAAAGAACGCTTTTCTAACCCACCCCAGAGCATTATGCTAATTCCTATCATACTGTCCACCTACATACTAAACAAGCTGTGGAATAAACACGTCCATGTGCCCTTTCATGTCACGTGAGGAGAGCGAAACATGCAGTGTAAGCACTTGACAGCTGCCTGCAACTGAGTCATTCAAACAGATACAGCTGGCAAGAGCTGACATGAAATCCAGGCTACAGGCACTTGGAAGCCTGGGCTTGCCAAAACTGACAGACTGGCACCAAAGAGTCAGCCAGTAAGCCCGGGACAGCTCAGCCCTCAAATATGGTGCACCGGAGAGGAACGGGAGAGTCCAAAAGGGGAGGGAGGGAGGGAAGGGGTCAGCCACAGGTTCAGAGCCTCCTTTACAGGCTGCACCGAAAAACCAGCTGACAGCAACGAAGGGATCCCATTTTTCCCCCAGTGAAACCAAGCCCTTCCCTACTCCTGGCTGTCCGTTTTGCTGTGAAGGCTCTGTTTCAGCCCCAACCGTGTCAGAAGTTCTGTATTCCTGCCGTGCCATTCCTCCCACCTCCTCTCCATGACGCTTCCTCCCACAGCTGATCACTGAGCCTAACATTCCTTATCCCCAGTGCTGGTGACAAGTAAAGCCTACGTAACATAAATAAGGAAAAAGGACATGATCTTGTAAATAGGAGGCAAAGGGATTGAGCAGAAATTAGTGATTTTCCACAAACTGCACCTCAGTCTCCAGAGGACTTGAATCCCATAAGAAACTGTCAGTTCCTCCAGTGGATACTGAACCAGGAATTCATTTTTTTTAGAATCCACTATTATGAACCCTGGTTGTAAATCTTACTATAAATTTACACTGCACAGGAATAGGAGCTACCAGGAAACTTCAGAGAGATTCAGCCAGTTTTTCTGGTGGCATTTCTTTTCGAGCTTCCTTCTGGAAATGCTGTTTTCTAGCTTTTCAGTGGCTTTGCAAAAGGCCCACCGGAATATACTTTTAACTCTCCACATAAACGTGTGCTTGAATGGTTTTGAATTTGTTTCTACCTCTGAGTGGAACACTCTCTAAGGGAAATGCTGGTATCCTGTTGACTACCACGGCCCCAGCTGTCATAAAGATTCACAGGACAACTACAGACATGGCTGTGACCCTGTAAATAAGTCTCCTCTCTGTTAAAACATGACTCATCACTGCTGCTTTCTAGAAACAACACAAACAAGACACTTAATGAGCCACAACATATTTCCACTTCATTATCCTCCTGTTTGCTGTATGCAGCTCTGCAAGAACCGTGTCACACACAGACACACTAAACCAGACCACAGTGCTTGAGCTGCTAAACCAAAGTACTGCGGTCAAAAATCAACATCTTCTTGACTTCACGTGCATATGTGTGTGCATACATATTTTATGTACATATATATGAAACCCACATATACAGTATGTGTATGGCTGAATGTATATGTAACACTGTACCACTAGGACAGATCAGAAACAAAAACAAAGCAGCCTGACTTGTTCTAAGAAAAATAAAAATCTTATGGATCTGCTAGAAAAGCTTGGAAGACATCCTGAGAGGACTTAGAATTAACAGCAGATGGTTTGTGTGCATATTTATGTGCTTTCTGGAGTGCAAAGACATTAATAAGTATCACAGTTAGAACCCTTTCCTCCTTTACTGACCTGCCAAAACCTCCGACCCAGATCGCAGAGCTCTCCCAAAGCAATGACATCACCAGCACCTCAAGTAACATCAAGAATGCAGCTGGCAGGATAAACAGTGCTCTGCTCTCACATGTTGGCAGGCAAAGAGCTTGAGTTCACATTTCAGTCAGAAAAAAGAAAGGAACAAGGGAGAGAGCCAGCACTCTGAGGAGGGCTGTGGAAGCCACGACAGCCAAAAGCAAAACTGCAACAAAGAAAGAAACCACTGAGTAACAGTTATGAGAGGTATCGCTTGAAGTTGTGCTTATTCATTCTCACTTCTGCACACCAAGGTGCACACTGAAGACAGATGGAAACCAGGCACCAGGTAAAAGTAACAGAAATTGCCATTAGAAACACAGGTCATCTACCCTAATTAGCCCAGTCTTCTTCAAATTATAGCTGACTTGGGTTAAATGATCCTTCAGCTGGTCATCACTGAGCCTATCCCAGCTGGGTGGCAGCTCTGAGTACGGAGAGGTTTCGAAGGCTCCATGAAGAAAGCAGCTCATCTCACAAATAAAACACACAAATCCAACAGTGTCCAAGTGACAGGAGCACCACAGCAGCTAACGCCATAGATTTTGGTGGAGTTTTTTGTTTGGGTTTTTTTTTCTAATTGACAGATTAGCAAACAGAACAAAAAAGCAATACCTTCAGCGTTGTTTTTTGTCCAATTATTCCATAAGTCTGTGCTGAGGGATGAAGCAGTAATAGCTGACTCTTCACTCAGTGCCCCCATTGCTGTGTAATGCAAATAGATGCTTACTGGAACAGAAAAGCTCAGTATATCTATTCAAGGTTCATTTCACCTAGAAAGCACTTCATACAACATGCACTTCATACAACCCCCACACAAGGCAGCAATATAATAACAATTCACTTAAAACATTTTTGCCTCAAACTTCCTTTTGCCACGGCATAATTATGACTGTGAGAAAACAAACATATGGTATTGCAAATTTCCCAAATACAAATCCATCCTGTTCTCCACTCTATTATCTTACACAATTTACGACACAGGTGTGTGTAACATACTACAACCTTACATCTCTTCACCAGTCTAAGCAGATTCTTTTCAAAGAATTCTAAATTATACCCTACCAGTTAAAATTTCATCTGGGTTTCAAACTGAAAAGTGGTTCTGCTTGGCAATGTCTCTGCACACTTCCCACCCCACTGCTTATTTCAGAAGAGGCCAACTACTGTTCAACAAAGCCCTGGATCTTATGACATGGAAAAAGTTTCCTCCAAACCTACCTTTCAGCAAAATATAGATTAGCATTCCAAATGCCATGGCAGGCAGCTGCTTTAACACCTTCTCAGCTCTTCCTTCCAGGTGGCTCGCTTGCTGTGCTTATCTGTGCTCCCGTGTTTTCTCTTGCACTTATACGCCAGGAAGCGTCATCTCTTGTTCTCACCAATCAAGAAAAGGTGCATCTGGCAACAACCTCACCCCCCCGGGCAACCACACATTTATTTAGGAAACTGCTATTATCTAGCAATGGGATCAGGTTTTCTTTTGAAACCCTGGTTTCCTATTACCTGTGGGCATAATTGTGCAGGCAAAGGTACAGTTTTAGAGCGAGACCCGGAATCTGACAGAGCAGAGGAACAAAAACCAGCAAAACAGAGGTGAGCAAAATGAAAAATTACACGTTGTGAAAAGGTGGTGTTTCCCTCCCTTCGCAATGCAGGTGTTGTGTTACTTCCAGGAGGATATTCAGCCTCAAGATACTACTCTGGAGGTCAGGGTCCAGGGATCAGCCCCTGCTCTGCTAGTGTTCCTCCCCTGGTCCTCCCTGTCCCTCAGTCCCCACCATCCAGAAGAGGAACTGTTCAAACAGCTAGTGCTGAGATTAGGAAGTGATCAGACACAAAGATAATGGATGATATTCTCCATCAGTGACTGCCAGCAAGAGGCCTTTGATCCCAGGCTCTGCAAGCCTGAGGGGTGTGCTAATCCCTTTCCATTCAGCCTGGCCATGCACAACCCTAGGAAGCAAGGCAGCCCACTGGTCCCCACGAGGCCTGGATTGCTGGCTGGAGCTGCGGGGCAGAAGTCCAGAGCTGGCAAAGCACAGGCGCTGAGGAAACACAGACTGAAAGAGCAGGTAAGCTGTTGCCTCCTGTATCAGGAGATTCCCTTCACTACTGCCAGAAAAGCCCATCTCTGCCTCTCCATCAAGTGACTGTGCATAATGAGAACAGTTGCACTTTTTACACCATGTGCTTGCAGGTCTCTAGCACATACCTGTCAAACACATTTCTTATACTAAACCACTCTCCACAGCCCCAAACACTGTCTAACTTCCTTGGACGCAGGCAGCTGGGAATGACTAGGACTGGTCTCTGAAGGATACTGGAGCAGATTATTGGAAAAGCCCAGTTCAATAATATACATGGACATCAACAACCTGACTCTGACCAAAGAGGAGCTAAACCCTTCACTCCAGCAACTTCCTTTCTCAACTGTGAGCTCCAAGCAACAACAACATTTCACAATTTTTGTATTTTAAAACCAAAAAGCTTCTAATAGATGCCCTAATAACTGGTCAGCTCCAGTTCTCCCTCTCCACTGCACTCTCCCCAGTGATCTGCAGGATTACATCTAACCACTTCACATGTTAAGGGAAAAACACAAGCTAGTTATGCACATTTTAATTATGCGTTTTCCTGCTCATGGACTGCATTCCAGGAGGCTATTCCCTTCCTTTGCTATCCTGAATTGCTGCATGCCTGCACGCTGATCAAGTGCCCTGCACACTTCCCAGACAGGGGTGTTTATGCCTACCTGGATAACCTCTGCTATCAGTCCCAAGCAGGGATAAGGCTCATGAGCCTTGCTTTCAACACACAGCTGCACAATGGGAGTTTAATCCGGCCTGAATCCGAGAGGAGGCTTTGTCATGAGGCAACACACTGGGTGTGGTAGGCCTGGGACCAGGCTGCAGCGGGCAAGGCTGTCCAACACACGGTGTTCATACTTGGACTGGGCTTGACCAGGTCAGGCACACCAGCATGCTTTTTGGGGTGGTTCATGGGCCCTTCCCTCTGGATGCTCCTTCTGGATGTTCTCCCAGTGGAGAGTACTCTCACAGGTGGCAGCTCTGAGGACAGCACACTGTGGAGCAAAGCCAGGGTCTCGCTAGCTGAGAAAAGGGAAACAGCTTACGATGCACAATCTGTTTGTAGGGCATGACAGAAGCAGGCTCGCTCAAGGGACAGGAGCACAGCGCCAAAAATGGTTACTCTGCCAAAACATGCAGAGACAATCAGGGTTAAATCAACAAAAGCAAACACGAATCTAGAAGAGTAATGCAAACAGCCAGACACAGCAACGACTGAGCATGCAAGGCCTTCATTCACTGCGCTCCAAACACACACACAAACAAAGGAAAAACACAACCACCCCCAAAACTCCATCAACATTTTTCACCAAGACTAAGGAAACAGTGAACAAGTTTTATTCCGTCTTTCAGTCATGGGTTGATCAGTCCAAGCATAGTCTCCATAGGCGCCTTGACTCTCCTAACATTTATATCACCACTTAAATTTAAATAGACAAGTGTCTGCACTATTGCCATTGTATATTTAGTAATAATTCTGTCAAACTTTTGCAAACACTGCATTAAGGCAAACTCTCAGAAAGCCCATCACAAGAACAGTCAGCATGGAAGGGATGCTCCACCTTGGCTCTTTTATTACAGTAAGTGCATTTTTCTGTTTAATGCAATAGTATTTAGCCACAATTTTTTCTTTCCTCTCTCAAGTTATCTATAGACCACCAGCAAACATCTAAGGCTCTTGATGAAAATAAATCAAAGTTATCCCAACTGAGACAAAAACATGAAGATAAAAAGTCCCAACTGGCTCCCACTGCCTTCAGTGGGAATGCCAACAGTGCACACGCTCAGCTGAACAGGCATCTCAGCATTTACTCCACTCGAACTTGTACACTGCATGAGACTATGCTAGATCCATCCAGCAACTAAAGTTTTGGGAATAGAAACATACTGATCTTATCCCATGTAGTCCTCTTTAAGCAGCAAAACATTGTGGCCATTGAAGCCAAGCCTTACAACATGGAATAAAAAAAAAAAAAAGCCTTGTCATGCAGTTCCAGAAAGTAAGAGAATATAATTAAATGGCTTTAAATTCCAACACAAATATTCTGTCATGGATGAAGTTTTGGTTTGCTCTTCCTCTTCACCCACTGCCCCACTATCCTGTACATACGCCACAACATCAACTACATTTCATCTAATTAAAGTCAAATCCAGCCCAGTCAACTGTTCAGTTTGGGAGGTTTTTTTGTGAGATGAGGAGATTACACACCAAAACATTTTGTCCAGATATGAAAATAAAATAATTCAGGCCTCCATTCTACCTACCTTATTCATGCTTACCTCTTGCAGATGTTTAAAATCAGAATTTCACCAGCATTCAAGTTTACTTGGCTATTTTAAAACATTTACTGAACATTTGCATTCATGTCAACGTTACTGCCTGGCAGCTGACACAAACACTGCAGTCTCTCACTCCTTTTGCAACTGAGATTTCTGCTGCTAGCTCTAAGTGTTTAAAACAAAAAAATATTTCAAGACTTCAAACTACATCCAGAGTGTTTTGTGACCTCAGAACTCGAATCATATATTTAAAAGGTATCTCGCATGTTGAAACTCAGTTTTCATACTATTTGATCAAACCTGAGGGTCCCAAGTGCTTACAAGCCCTTGGTAACTGCACCGGTGCGAGTGTACAGCTGTAATTCATGCTCCATTCTTCATTCTCAAACACATACAACATAACTGTGTAGGCTGCATTCTCAAACTCATTTTTGCTTACAATATGCTAGGAGGAGGTAACACAAAGTATTTCAACATTTTGTAAACCATCAGGTTTAGCATACTTGACATGAAAAAATAAATACAATGCAGAAATAAATATATTTGTAGTAAAAAATAGACATTTTGTGTATCAATAAATAGAACAACCCAGATTCTTCTTCCAAGGTAGACCATTTCCTCTAGTAAATGAGCTTTTTAGCAACTAGGAGTGTGTTCTTCAGAAGCATTGCAACAGTCATAGGTCCTACCCCTCCCGGCACCGGAGTGATAAAGCCAGCCTTCTTCTTCACTTCTAAGAGAAAACAGAAAGAGGTATTGGCTAAGAATGTTTCCAGAATGGTTTTCCCCCTTCCACTGCCCACAAATGCCCAGCTGGTGAGGAGCACAAAGGAGTGTGAGTGGGCAGGTACTGCAGAGCACAGGACAGGCCCAGGCAGAAGTGTTACTGCAGCGACAGAACGCAGGACCGGGGCTGCAAGGGACTGCTAAGCTGAGTATTAGTACTCCTGGGGCAGGCTTTCACCACCTGTCCCACCTGAGCTACCTGCAGCAGGCTGCCCTTTCCCCACAGCAGTGACACACACTCAACACAGACATCCTGGGATCACAGAAGGGAACTTCAAATTGCAGAGGGAGAAAGTACAGCTTTGAACAGAAAGGAAAGAGTTACAGCTGAATTAGCTCCAACCATGAACCACACCAGACTACCCAAATTTAGTGCACACCTTGAATGCTTGTGTTGAGGCAAATATGTACCAATTAATTTTTGTAAGCACTCAAGTTAACCTATTTGTATGAGGAATTAATGTAATGCAGCAATAAATCCTGACTTGATATTTTTCTATACTGTGCAAAATGCCATTGACTGGAGTTGCAAGCTGCTTGCAAAGCAATTTTGTGCAACTTCCTGGGAACTAATCACATAAAAAACTGTAAGGAGCAGTTATTTACTACTGATGGTCAGTCCAAAGAGCCTTGTACTAACCTGGTTACTACTGAGGGTTTTTTTTCAGGTGCCACTGTGAGAGGTGTTTTGTTTTTTAGTTTGGGGGTTTTTTTGGCTTGCTTAGTAATAATTTTTTGTGGGTAACACACCCCACTTTCAAAAGCATTGTTTTTCCAAAAGGCACACACACGAGACAACTGAGCAAGCAGAACTGACACGAGCACATTCAATTCCACTGAAGTCACTACAGAGCAGACTGTGGGTCTGGCCATAAGAGATCGAGGGATGGAAAACTTGGCACCTAGGTTTGGAACAAACAAGATAAGCTGCTCCTGCTGCGAGGGTATTCATCTTGAATCTATGTGGTGCTTAACTGCCGGGAATAAAAAGGTCTCAAAAAAAACATATCAGAAGAGAATTTGAGAAACTGGATATTGGGATTTTTTTTTTTTTGAAAGAACATTTATTAGATTTGAAAGAGGGAGTTAAAAGAAATTAATCAAATGCTGTCTGAACTCCCCATGGCAGGGACATAATGAGAGCATTCACAGAAGTTAACGGCGAATATCTCACTGAACTGAAGAACAGAAGAAGATTAAGCCTCATTGAGGAGAGATGGTAATTACAACTGGGAGGGTTTTAATTACTCAGTTGACTGGTACCACCAGCTATACTGTTAAAATATATGAAAAGGAAAACAATTTGCAATGAGGTTTTTTTAACATGTAAAATATAACAAATTAAGACTTCATATGGCAGTTCCTCTTAATATCCTCAAACACAAATAATTTGTCTTTTTAATAGTCATCATGTTTTGAACTATCCACCATTGAGATTGGTGCTTATGGTTAATACACTTACTACGAATTCTCGGATTGATATCCTAATTATTGAAATGTACCCTCATCTGAAGGAAACACAGACATTAACAGTGACAATATTGTAGGCACTTCAAAATGAAATACATTTGTTTCCACGGCAATGTCACATACCTCTTTTTGTGCTGTTACTCAGACTTCTCCTGTCTTACCTACGAGGAGGGACAATCCACAACTAGATGGTGCCTTTCCTGAAGAAAGCCTTCTAAGGAGTATCAGGTACAACATGTATTGCCTGTGGTGTTAGTAACCCTAGTCAGCAGGAAAAACACAGTGCGCTGTTTTCCCAGGTTGCTGGGGAATTCCTCTACCCATACTCTGTCATTATGGAAATCCCTGTGAGTCGGTGTGGCAGAAGCCATACTTTGTGTCAGTTAGCATAAAACCGCCCAGACGGTTTATTCACAAAAGCTGATCCACATTTTCAAATTCACAGCAGGTGTCTGTGCTGGGGAAACTACTGTCTGATAAGTTGTCATGGGTAAGAGTAAATACCAAAGCGGCCAAATACCGTGGCCCTCAAAACTGTGAACAGATTTTCCTTTCCTGGTCAAGTGCAGCAGGCCAAAGCACAGTTCCCAGACAGCACTTGAGTGTGACTGATCTCATGTAGGCAGGTGAGGTGTTGTGCTGTCAGTTCCTTCAGATCTTGTTTCTGCTTCACAGGAATAGTATAACTTTGTCCCCAGCCTTACTTCTGCTTTCTCCTGATGTGTGCTGGTCTCCCAAGCCCTCCAACCTGGAAAATGCTGGTATGCAAATTAGGTGCCTATGGAGGAGGAGCTGCTATTTTGCAGCTTCTAGAGAACCTTGAAATCTTCCTTTGATTCTTCAGAACAAATGAAATGTAGATTGTTTCCTTGAAAAACAGGATCCACAGCTTTGGAAACAGCTCTTCATTCCTAGGTTCCTTTAAAGCAAAGGACATCAGACACCTAATAGGGTTAATCACACAAACCAAGAGCAAGTCTCAACCTGAAGGCAGTTCTGGGTCTTGTGCATCTGCATTAAGTGATGCAGAGTAATTCCTGCCTAAGCACTGTTTCCACACAGCTTTACAAGTCCCTGTAAAGCTACACCAGATCACTGCATCCCTGCAGCACCACCTAAGCTTGAAATCACGTGCTCAGCACTCACAGCAGGTATCCCATGTTCAGCTCCACACGCTCTGGGATTCGGCTCACTACACTGTGGAATACCAACAAGCAAGCAGCTACCCCATTTCTCAGAGTTCCTTCTTTTGCATATTGGCCCTGTTTCTCTTACTGCAGCTGTTTTAACTGCAGTATAAAGGAAAACAAAGGAATTATGGCCCAGTACTATAATTCTAACAGTGCATTATTTCCTTCTCAGGTACCTCTAAAAGCCAAGCAACAGAGGCATCCTGAGCAGAGAAACCCAGCATGAAATTACGCACCACGGCTTCTCCGCATTCAGCTAATTAGCACAGACAGGTGGATGGGATGTCGTGGTAGCCTTGGGATAATAAGTGGTGGCAGCGAAAATGCAAGATATCACAGATTACTTAGTGAGGCCCCTGCACGACATCCTCTTGTCCGGAGCAGAACCTCACCCGGGCCACCCAGCAGCTTACTGCCACCACCCAGCCACCAGCCAGCCTGGCTGCCACTGCCTAAGGCCAACCTTCTGCTGGATTCCTTGCACTCATGGAGCACAACAGCAGGCAATGCTTTTCCTGATGTTTGCAGGGCAGCAGTACGGTGGCACAATTACACAGACCGGAGTTTTACTACTTGCAAAATGAATGCCAGATCTTCAAAATCACCTGAGAAATGAACTAACTAAAGCTATAGTAAAAGCAGCTGGAACATCCATGTTCTATTTTCATGACCACTGTCTGGAAAAGCTGCACACAGAGCTAATTTGGAAAGGATTCAATAAGTGAGGAGCAGCCCACAGGCAGGCAGGTATCACAGTGAACGCGGAGCGGCAGCAGACACCTGTCAGAAGCAGCTGCTGTCACAGAGCCCGGGTTTCCGGCACACTGCAGCTGAGGTACAGCTGTAGGACCACCATTTCCATTCATAAACTGCATTTGAAGGTTATCACGGGTTGATCTCATTCAAAGGACATTCATAATATACGCCCATCACCTTGCACCACGGCGATCACTTATTGAGGCATCTCTTCTGCTGTTCAGCACAGGGAACGCCTCCCTGCTCCTGGTGGCACTCGTTTTCCAGAATCTCTTGCACACTGGCACATCCGACTGAACAGTTCTCATGTACAGGGCCAGGAGCTGGACTCGATGATCCTCATGGGTCCCTTCAAACTCGGCAGCTTCTATGATTCTGTGTACAAACCCCTCCACTGATATTGCAACTACGTCACCTACAAAGGTCTTACACAAAAGATTTCTTTTTTACATAAGCACCTAATACTCGACAGCCAGCATTGCCATCTGTTTGTCCAAAATATGGAAGAAATTGTAAAGAGGTACAGGCAACTTGGTTTCAAGGGCATTTCCAGTTCCAGTTTCAAAGGTGAGTTACTACACTGGCGTGTTACTACCCTGCTCTACCAGTCCCTCCTGGAAATTTTTGGTGTTCCACCCAAAAAAGCCGTTCCAGCTAAATGTTCTGGGTAAGCTGTTCCTTTATTTCATGTTCCTGGTCCTTGTAGCCCTCCTCCTGCCTTGGCAGTATAGCTGTGGCAACAAAAGCCCTATAAAACAGGGCCAAGTACACCCACATGTGCACTCTCCTCTTCATAGAAACAGGTCTCCCTTTCTGCGACTGCAACATGCTGCCCTAGACCACAGGTTCTGGCAAATTCTTAACATGAACAGAGGTCCCCTCAATGTGCTGGTTATAGATGGAGAGCTGCAGAAGCAGTTTAAAACCTCCCTGCAGCATCAGGCTGGGTACTCCAGTGCTTCGCAGCTGACCTCCACACGCACAGTGTTCTCCAGTCTTGTTCTTTCAGATATCTTGGAACTGCCCAGTAAACTATGCCAGACAAAAACCCCATCGTTTTTTATGTGAAAATAAAATTATTATTATGTGGGGTATCAAAATAAAGAGACATGGGGATGTGGGAAATCACAAATATTGTTTAAAGACACTTAATAATTGTTGCAAATAAGTGTTGCTCAAAGAGTGCCTCTGGGCATTTTTTACATTGAATTTAATAATGAAAAACATAAAAAAAAAATTGAAATGGTATCCTTTTGTTGTTAAAGATATAACACCTTCACTGTCTAACCTACCTCAGAGTTTAGAAGATGGCATCTAAGTATTGCTTGGATATGACAGTTGAATCAAAACAGCTTCCAGCCATCTAATAACTGAATTTCCACTACAGGAGCTTTTCAGCCAGGAGATCTGGTGAAGGAAGCCATTGCTATCTATGTCTATACATGAAATTTGACCTTTGATTGCCCAGTCAAACCTTTGCTCTTCTCACAGCCACATTTTTCTACTTAATATGAGTGAAGAGACAATAGATATTGGTGGGCTACAGGATGGTTAACAGGTGCCCTATGTCATGGCAGCCATTTATGTAGCTGGCCTCAACCTGCAAAAACCATTTTCACTTGGACTTAAATATAAATTCAGTCAAGTGATCAAATGGAGGAAGAGGAAAAAATGATTCGCTACGTGAACACACTGGCTTGTTCCATCTCCTGACTGTCAAATCAAATACTTGCCAAGGGTGGTTTACTTGTTAGTATTCAGAACTGTACACACTGGGATGTTTTTTGTTGTTGTTAGAGATTTAGTGAAACTTTCACCGATACCAATGAACCAACAACAATTTCCCTTTGGCAATGCACAGTGAAATGCTACTTGCAACTGTAGTGGCATAATCCAATCCTCCCTCTTTTTTGGATCTTCCCTCCCCCCAGGTAAAATCCTGAGAACAACCCACAGCAGACATGACGAGACAGATACAGCGCATTGCTGAAACTCTGAATCACAGCCCGCCACTGAATCTACACCTATATTGCAGGCACAAGGTCTTGTGATTGAAGAGAAACAAACATGAAGGATGTAGTTTCACGTTTCTCAAAGTTACAGCTTTTTTACTCCAATACCTGCTCAGGCAAAAAAATTGTGAAAAATCTCTGTACTTTCGTTCAGTTCTGAAAACAGAAAATTGAACCTTTGATTTGTGACAGCACAAGCAAGATAAGAAAGGAAACTTTTCAAGTTATCCTCCAAACGTGTGATTTTCCTTGAGCTCTGCTGCACACATCCACTTACACATTTCCAAACGCATGCCGAGACAGTGGCTCAGCTCCACTGGTGCAGGTGATCTCACACACTTTAACACGGGGGTATCGTGCACAAGGAGGAAAAGCAGCAGAACTCAGGGAGTGATGGAATCACAAACACACACAGCTGGCTACAAACATTCTGAATATAATTAAGCTTTGAGACATTAGGCCAGCCAACATGTTAATAACTGTGCAAAAAACCTGTGGGTGATTTTCATACTTATCAAAATAAGGAACTGTTGAGAACCATTAATAATGTGGGTAAATGCTGCCTAAGCTTCCCACACTCAACTCTGCCAGTAAGCTTTAATTTTCAACTCCAACAATCCTGCTATTCCAGTCTGGAACTCCTCCAGAGCAGAGACACTTCATCAAGTTACATTGTGAACTTGCTCTGCAACATGTTAAACATAAAAAAAGATCAATACAGAACAACAATTTTTATCTGCTACGCTTGCCTGGATCAGGATGTTCAGCAGTTTAAGATGAATTATCCTTAGTGTAAAGGATAATTCCAAAGCCAAAGTTAACATTTGCACAGACAAGCACAGAGGGAGAGCATATAAGGAAGCTTGAGCAGCTGTGGTATAATAATGATTGCTATGAACAGTGGGAGACCCTCTGCTTGAGAGAGAGCAGATTGATTTTGATTTATTATTATTATTATCTATTATTTAGCAATTGTTTGAATTGATTACTCTGGAAACACTTCACAGACACAAAAGATTAAAGAAACAGGGAGAGAAGCAACTTCTGCATCACACTGACAGAAGAGCTCATCTGTGTCTCTTAAAGGTTGCTGTTCCTGTAATTAAAAGCAACACTTTCTCAAATAAAATAGCCTTTTTCGAAAGGAGATAGATTGCGTTATTTAAGTAAATAAATGACAAAAAACTTCTGCAAATAATGTCTCATTTGAGACACTGCCTATTCCAAGAATTTACCTTAAAGGAATCCTCTGAACTTCAATATATACAGGTTTGTACAAAGTGTTTTACTGACCTTCAAAGTCCACATCCCCAACTAATTTGGTTTTTCCTGTAAGAGGATCATGGATATGGTTGATGCCTACATCAATCACAGCTGCACCTTCTTTGACCATATCAGTAGTAATCAGCTTTGGGACACCTGGAATCAGCAACAACATATTGGATTAACATGGCCACGTAGTCTTAGGTCATCAGTTTTGAATGATATGAAGGGGTGTGCATGCACAGGTATGCATGCACATAACAGAACACAATTCTTTCACTTCAATGTTGCTTGATAAGTCCCACACTGAAAACAATTGTTCCTCAACTGCACAGTTTCTAACTGCTACAACTACAGAAAAAGAGAAAAAGACTTACAAAAAACCCCTCATCAAAGCTGTGCCATGGGAGTGGTTTTGGTTCAGGAAACACACTGGACTAATAAGCCATTTTAACTGCTTTGGCAATCCCAGCACATGACTCTGACCTTCCAGAGGGGAGCTCCTACAACACACCATGGCCTGTGATTTACAGCAATTCAGGAGACCCCTCCACACTTGACCAGAGAGGCCCGGCTTCGGCATTGCTCACCTTCATCACCTTCCAGTGGGCAACAGCTCTGTAGTGTCTGGGGTAGGATCCACCTTCCTTCTTGAACCATTCCCTCACTTCTGTCTTCCCAGAGCAATGTTTATCCCAGTAATACAGTAGCTCCACAAAGGGAGTCTATACTCCCCTCTCCCCACCAAAGCACTTTTCTCTCAGGTGGAGCAAAGACAAAAAGGAAAAGAAACCAAATCCATCTGGTTGGAAACTGCACTTTTACTGGGGGCAAGCACTGGCATACGAGGTTTTGGCTTCCTGTGAAGTGCTGCAGCACAGCCAGACATTTGGATACAGGCAATACAAGAACCTTCCTTGCTCTCCATTTCTCACTCCCCCATAGGACACCAGCTTGAAACTCTGCTTCGCACATTGAGCAAGCCAAGACTTTAAATTCTTTCCCATCCCACTCGATAACATCTGGCTGCGTCTCCTTCATCCCGCTCTGATGCAATCCATGGCAAGCTGGCTGGTAGCTGGATAATGCCTCAGCCTCATGGGGGTAAATGATGTGTGTCTGATAGGGCTGGAAGCACATTAACGGAAGCTGCACAGTTACACCCTTTGTAAAATGGTTTGATAATAGGCCAAATACTTAATAGCAACAAATCAACTAACCCCCAAACCAAATGAGCAGATCTATTTACTTAAGCCTACTTTACATACCAAGTGGGAAGAGATAAGCGTTAGAGCAGCTATTCCTAAAATGCACTGACTGAAGAATGTGGGAAAACCTTCACCTGGTAATTTTTGTAGGAAATGATGAATCGCATTTTAAACAAAGGAGAAAAAGGCCCTACCTAATCCCAGCTTAGGTGCAAGGACGGTGAAACAGCCAATTTCTGATGCAGTCGACCAGACACTACCTGAATAAAGGGTCTGATTAACTTGCATTTCCTACACAAGAGGACTACAGATCATGTCCCAAGGGATGGCACAGGTAGTCCCAGAACAATTTCATCTGGCATTTGGCACACTTGTTCCTTTTCCTCTTTACCCTCTCCAAACCTAGCAGGCAGGTGAGTCTTCTCTCTCAGCAGACTGGAAAGCCAAGAGAGCAGGAGCAGCACGTTGACCAGTACGAGAGTCCTGCTGCCTCCATCACTGCCCTGCAAGTCCTGTGGTGGTTCTACGAGCACCACAGGTAAAGCTGCACTTATCCTTCTACTCCGGGGCTGGGCCAATGGCAAAAAGAACACACTCGGGGGGATGTCTGCATAGGCAGGGATAAAGGGACAAGATGGGAAAGGCTTTGGAGGGATACAAAGTGTCAGGTGTGCTTCACAGGAAATATGATGCTTTGGCAAGAAATGCAAAAGCTGTGTGGTCCTGAAAGAGATTTTAGGGAGGCGTAGGCTGGACAAGGGCAGCATTGTTGGAACTTATGATGCAAGGATTTGGGAGGGAACAAGAGGGAAGGAATAAACTGCATGGATAGTTACAATCCAAGTAAGCAGAAAAACAGGGGCCCCAAGTCTGGGGGAGAAGAAGAAGCACCTGATCTGAGCTATTACCACAGCCAGGGATGCAAGTGAACAGAAAGGCACTCAGAGGTGGAGTACCACACGAAACAGGCTCACTGCAACAAGTCCCCAACCAGGAGCCAGGATGCAGACAGCTCTTCAAAAGTACTCCATGGGAATGGGAGAAAGAGTGAGAATAGCAATCTTGGTCCTGCACACAGACACACACAAAAAGCTCTTTTCCGTTTCCACATCTTGCACAGCGGCCTGTACCAGCAGCTGCTCCAGCCTGGCAGGGCACAAGTCACCTGTTCTACAACACTCAAGCAGGTCACGCATTTCCAGGAGCGTGTGATCCCAATGGTACAACGTGCACAGTTCTCACGCAACCAAGGAAGCCTGGAGGGATTCCACCATTCTAAAGTAGAACCTTGCCCAGAGCACCCACTGGGGCAGGGCTGCACGCTGGTTGCACAACCAAGCCCTAGTGTTTTTTCATCATTCCCAGTATATCTCAAGTTGTGCAACGAGTGCTGTATCACACTCCTGTTACAAATGACACAAGGAAAATAATGGGAAGTGCCAACATGGCTGAATTGCTACTGGGTCATTTAACTCCAAGCAGAACTGATGACTAACCACGTTCGCTGTTAGAATCTGAAGTGACAATGGACTTGGGAGCAGGGAATTTGGATGAGAAGTTACTGGTTTATTTCCAGGTAGCACACACATTGTTATCTTTCATTCCCTGGGGAATTCTGGTCAGGCCCACAGTTGGATAAATAGATGTGGGACCAACAAGCTGTTTTTTGCTCCTGAGCTGCCATTGGAAAGAGATACAGAAGTTAAATCCTGAAGCCAAGGGCCTCTCACTTCAACAGGAAGTGACAAGCTTTAGACAGGTACCTCTCTGTCTCCACCTAGAAAACAAGGAAGCACGATTTGGGCCTCCAGGATGAGGAGGAGGGAGAAAGGGAGCAGAAAAGGGGAAAGACACAATCCTCCTGTACTGCTTCAAAATGGTACAAGAGGAGGATGATATCCTGAGCTGCAAGGGACACACAGTTTTACCAAGATTTTAGTAAGTTGCATTATTTGTTTGTTTTAAATCATGGGGGGTTTCCTATTTATAATACCTGTCAACAAAAAACAGAGGTCTCCTAGAAGCAGTTGTGCTTGTTTCTTTGGGATAGACGAGTCAAACTCCAAGTATTTCACTCTACATTGCTTTATGAGTAGAGACACTGATTTTTCAGACCCCTGCCTCCAGGCCATTACCATTCTCTTCCCCTCTACATGAGAATTGTAAAAGGAAAAAAACCCAGCCATAATAACGTAGGTTACCAAAACCTTCAGTTCATTTAGCAGGGTTGCCCTCAATATTAACAGCAGGGGAATGATACCACGGTGTTATGAATGCAGCCTCCAGCTGATTTAAAGAAACCCTCCTGTCAGAACTTAAATGACTCATGACTTTTGCACGACACAGAGAATGTTTTAATTTACGTAATTATACCCGTATAAACTATGCACTGACTGGTTCCCAATCCTGAGTTCACTCTGAAGTCTCCCTAAGGCAAAGGTGTCACATGTGACAAGAAACAGTTTATGAGTCTGCAAATGTGAAGGGCAAGAACAAAGAGCCACATGACTCGCCCTTCCTACTGCAGAAATCCTCCCTACTGCAACACCCTCGGCAAGCGCGAGCACACCTTGCTCCGTGGAACCTGGAGCAGCCACTGCCACAGACTCAGAGTCCTCCTTTTCGGTTGGAAATGCTGCAATTGGAGGATTAACAACAACGAGCATTACCTGCAGCTACTATTACTATGTCAGCGAGCTGCGTATGGATCTTGAGCTGCTCTTTTGGGGTGTATCTGTGAGTAATGGTCACTGTGGCATCACCTGAAATGGAATACATTAGCAGTTAATTGCCACATATGAAATGCTATAAAAAGTACAGCATTTACTTTCAGGTGCAAATTACTTACTTTGGTACATTAATAACAGAACAGATGATCATCGGATTTGTCTTGGGATGGAACATTTCAATGAGCATAGGCAGAACACTCACAACACTCGCGGTTCACATATACAAAGAAACGTTTGCTCTTAGAAATTCTCACAGGATGTATTAGTTTATACACTGTAGACTAAATTATTCCTTCTGCAGCTTTGTTAGGTTCAGTGGAATTACAGAAAGCAAACCCAGCATGGAATTCAGTGTCTGCTTTATCAAGCCCAATTTGTACAGGGTGCCACAAGACTCAGTTTTTTGTCAGAAACTAAAGCTTCAAACACAAAATCACCAGTACAAGTAGGAGAAGCACATATCCTTCGGGGCAAACTCAAAACACCTGGGGCATGCTCCTGCACACACCCACATTTCTAGGCAAGAGCTACAAATAAACCCCTGTGCTGTTTGATGGAGATCTCAAAGCCACGACACACAAAATGAACTGTCATGGGGAGAGGGTCTGAAGTCTCCTACCGCATCCAACATCAAGTGTGGTGATCCCTTAAGGATTGCCCAAGCAAGCAGCCAAGATAACAGCTCTCAAAAGAGATCCCCCCAACCCTCTTCCTGTCAACTATTTGTACTGCAGTGTTCACAGTGTTACATCCCTCCATCTCTGCCTTCCACTCACCACAGACTCCTAAGCCACATCATTAACCATTAAACTAAAACTTTTTGTCATCTCAGATATTACCATCACATCTCCTTCCTCTGGAATGTGTCTGACTGAACTAATCTGTGCCTCTCATTAACTCTCTTCCTCAAGCATTTCCTCTTCAACATCTCTGTGCTCTGAATTCTCTGCTCTTTCCCCTCATCTTTAATCCCTCCTCCTTAGTCTCCACAGTCTCCATCATCTCCTTAAAGGGAGGCAGATCAAGACATTTGCAGATAATGAGAACAGAAAAGTACAGGCTTGAAACAGGAGTCTTCTGATACCTGCTTTAAACAAAAGAAGTATGTCTTCCCCAAAATCACAATCATAACTCAGCACAGAGGGTGAGAAAAACAAAAGGATAAACCCCAAAGTTACAAAGTTACCTCTGAGTCAAAAAATCAGTGCTAATTTGCCACCAAGATTTTAGTGACAGATGTGTCTGTTGTCAGCTCCTGAAACCAAGTAATTGATCTCATTACCAAAAAGGAAATGAGAAAGAAGGGGGAGAAGCCCCTACCTTGAGAACAGCAGTCCAGAAGCTTACAGACACCTCAGAAAGGGGAGGGTTTCCATTTATTTGTGATCATGCCAAAATAAAAAATAAACTATTCTTACACTGTTACTTCTGCTGAAAGAAGAGGAGTATATTTAGCAATTAAGATTCCACATCATACTCCCAAGTCAATTCCCTAGGTTATAAAACAGAGATAGTCTCTTGACCTGCCTACACAGATCACGATTTGTTTTGGAAGGGTTCACACGGCTCTTCCATCTGATCAGATATTGCCACCTGCAGGATACGACTGTTCCTACATACAAAACGTCCCAAATGAAGACAGGCCCCACCTTTTCTGTTTTGTTCATGATCTGTTAAAAAAACAACCAAAACCTACAACAGAA